AGAGACCAGTCCTTAGAGAGGGACATCATGCTTGGGAGGGTGGAGGGACAGCGCAGGAGGGGAAGGCCCTCTATGAGGTGGATTGATCCAGTGACTGGGGTAATCAGGATGGCCGTGTCAGAGACAGTGCGATTGGCACAGGACAGAGCAGAGTTTAGGACTGTTGTACATAGGGTCGCTATGAGTCACAAGTGACTCGATGGCACATAACAACAACAAATTGTGAAAGCATTGGTGCATAGTCCATAAGAGTTGTACTGCTAAGTCAAAGGCTAATAACTGTCCGGAGGTCAAAGGCTAATAATTGTCGGGAGGTTAGAGTCTGCCCAATCCTCCCACAACAGAGCCCCTGGGGGACAAAAATGAGCAATCTTCTCTCCTGTGATTTGTAGTCTCAGAATCACAAGGGAGGACCAGTAATTAGTCGATTCTTACTTGACCACATTGAGATGGTTTGTTGTTTCTTTTATTTTTATCTTAGTACATGAGCATTTAATGTTATCTCAGCCAACAAAATGATGACAGCTTGATGGTGAGGAAAAGAAGCCTTTAAGTAGAATTTACCCAGATAATCACAATTGTTGTTGTTTTGTTGTTAATTGCCATTGCATTGAGCACGACTCATAGAAACCCTATGACAAAAGACCTGAAGCTTTTCGATAACTATCGTTATTTATCAAAGTTCCTAGAGTTTCCAAAGGCATGTTGTTTAGGAAAGCGGATGCCAAGGGTAAACCGTTATGGCATTTGACACTTCAATGACACAAGGTTCATCATCACAGTAAACTCAGGTGACCTCAGTACAGAGGAGTGCTGTATCATTTAGAAGAAAATATCATAACAACTGACTTTTAAATGCAAAGGTCCTCCCCAACGTCTTATTGACTCTAAACAAGAGGCTTAAATAAAACAACCAATATAGAAGTAGGACCCAGAAATCTAAACCCAAACCCAAACTCCTAAATTTGCTGCGGATTACGGCCCCTAATAGCAACCCTAAATGGCAGTGTAGCGTTTCGCTTAGGGTTTCCAGGGATGCAGTCTTTACAGAAACCAATGCTGAGCTGAGGGTAGATTCTGAACCACCCTTCTCAAGTTAACAGCCGAGCGCTTATGTGCTGCGCCGCCATGGCACCTCTTCCCCCACCTCGCTCCCCAGTTCCCTGGAAAACCCTTTAGAAATCTCCCGTGGGTCAGGACCAGCACCAGAAACCTTTGCCCGCTCCTACCCGTTGAACGGTCTCGTGAGGCTTTCGAAAGTCGAGTTGAAAAAAGTTGCCAAAGAAAGGAAGCCTCGGGGGTCCGGGTGGGTAGTTTTTAGGAGGCCGCCTTTTGATGTAATCCAGCAAGGTCAGAAAGACGAAGGCGCCCAGCAGGAGAGTCCGGAGATGCAGCCCTGCCCAGAGGGCCGCAGCCAGGGAGCCCAGCGCCGCCAGCATGGCTGGAAGCAGGTCTGCGCCTCTGCTCTCTGAGCGGTTAAAATCTCTGAGCAATCTGGCAGCCCCTCCCCTCAGTCCCTTGCCAGGACCCACCCCTCTCCCAGCACCGCCCTCCTACGCTTTCTTTTTTCTTCAAGGCATGCCTCCTCCCACTTTGCCTCTTAGTCCTTCACACCTCCACACCCTTCCTCTCCCTACGTATGGGACTGGTCACACCCCTTCTAGCAAAACCTTGATCCTCCCAATCAACACACCCAATCGAAAAGAGGTCTGTGGCACGCTACCTCGCCAACACACACACACACACACACACACACACACACACCCCACACACACACCCTCCCTCCCTCCCTCCTCCCCCTTCCCACAAGGGGTGGGTGGTGGACTTTCTCCAGTGTAATGCTGTTTGAACTGTCGAAGAGGCAAGGTGCTATCAGTGCAAGTCTCTATGGAACTAAGACAATTATAGGCCTTCTTTTTTGGATACCTATTCAACCGGTATTGGGGGGAAAAATTCGAGAAGCTGAACTTTATACAGAAGAATGCAGCATCAGAATCTGAGAAAGACACAATTTGCATTATGCAGATGATACAACCTTGTCTCCTCAAAGTGAAGAGGTTCTGAAGTGCTTGCTGTGGAAGATTAAAGACTCAGGCTTTCATTACGGATTATATCTCAATATCAAGAAAAGGAAAACCCTCACCACTGGGCCAAAAGGCAATCCTAATAGTTGGAGGAAGCATTGAAATTGCCATCTATTTCATCTTACTTAGATCCACACAATTAACACCTGTGTTATCAGCAGTCAAGAAAGCAAAAGAGCTATCCCATCCCGGTCTGCTTTCAAGAAGCATTCCAAAATTCTACAGAGAGAGGACGTCTGTTTAATGACTGATGTCTTTTACCTGATGTAATGCATGGTCTTTTTGATTACTTGCTATGCATCTGAAGGTTGGACAATGAATAATAGATCAAGAATCAATACTTTTAAGTTTGGGTGTTAGAGAAGATTACTGAATATTCTATGGATTGTCAAAAGAATAAACAACTATGTCTCGGAGAAAGGTTAACCAGGATGTTCCTTAGAGGACTTCAGCTCATACACTTTGCACATGTTTTTAGGAGAAGCTAATCCTTGGAAAAAGACATCCTTGGAAAGGTGGTGGTGGTTGTTGTTATTCTTACACCATTCTTAGCTTGATGTCCCTTTCTAAGGAATAGCCCCTTCTGGCAACATGCCCAAAGCACTTTGGAAAGGTGGAGATTCATTGAAAGAGTGGAAGACACAAAAATTGACACAGTGACTATAGCAAGGGGCTCAAGTAAGTCAGAGATGAGGAAGATGGCACAGAGCACAGATCTGCTGTTCATAGGGTCACTGTGGGTCATAGCCAACTCTGCAGCACCTAACAGCAAAATCAGCACGACTTTGTTCTCATTTCCCCTCATTTTTCTTAAGTTACTGATCTTTCTTTTATACATTTCTAACTACTTTAAAGTTTAGAGAAAAACATTCTTGAGACACGAATAGTGAACACAATTGAGTTTTGTGTTTTGCTTCTTTTATGTCAAGATTTTGAGGGGTTTTTCCCCTAATCTTTTTAATTATTATTATTATTATTTTATATTGGTGATTGAGTAATAATGGACAAGGTCCAATGGTGATTGATTTTAAAAACACAATACATGGGAATGAGTGTGTATGAAACATAATGTGAATGAAGAAAAGTGTGAAACACAATGTGTATATCAAGTTATTTGGAGTATATGTTTCATATCGTAAAAAAATCATTCATTACAGAAATTAATGACTAAAGACTCTGTTATATTATGACTAAAACAAGAATAAGGAATATTTCCTAAGCTCCTCAAAGTTCCTTTATATCCCTTGTGTTCATTTCCCAATAAGCACTCACACCATTGGAAACACTGATCTCAAAACAACTATGAAATATCATCTTACCCCAGTAAGAATAGCAAAATTTAACAAATGGCAAGGAACAAATGCTGGTGAGGTTGTGGAGAAACTGGAACCCTTATTCACTGTTGGTGGAAGTGTAAAATGGAAAATTGCAAATAGAAATACCATTTGACCCAGCAATCCCACTACTGGGAATATACCCCAAAGAAACCATAACTGCCACCCAAGCAGATATATGCACACCCATGTTTATCACAGTTTTGTTCACAATAGCAAAGACTTGCAAACAACCCAAGTGCCCATCAACAAATGAATGGGTAGAGATGCTGTGGTTTATTCACACAATGGAATACTAGGCTGCATTGAAAAACAAGGTATTCATGAAATTTTATTCTTAATGGATGAACCTGGAGGACATTATGTTGAGTGAAATATCTCAGTTACAAAAGGACAAATACTGCATAGTGCCACTGTTGTAAAACAGGACTGACATCAGGGTTGGGGGGAGACTGAGAAAGATAGGGTAAATAATGTATACTGCATTGAAACAGATGAGGGAGAAAACTGTTTAAAAGGGATATGTGATTAGGTTTTATTTCCATAACAGGAGTCCAGAACAAAGAATCCACAGTAGCGTGGACCTGGGCGGGAGGGATTATATAACAATGAAAGAGTTTTATTTTTCAGAAAGAAGAGTGAACTTTGGGGGAGGGGTGGACAGTGAGAAAAGTGCAACAATGAATGAATGGAAATTCAACATCTCTGTAAATTTTCATTAAAATTAATAATAGTAATAATAATAATAAATCAAATTTTTAAAAAAAAACAAAAAACACTGATCTGATTTCCATTATTACGGGTTTTTATTTTCTGGACTCTTCCTTAAATGGAAGCATATTATACACACTCTTTTAAAAATAACTCTAGATAAAGCAGTTTTGTTCTCTTTTTCAATTCAAATTAAGGAAAGAATCCTGCATTGCCAACACTGAGAAGCTGAATTGATCAGGAGTCAAAGACAATTCTGAAGTAAAGATCAACAAAGTTGAGAAAGAGATAAAACATTTCATAACAGCAAACAGGAGAAAGAGTCTGAAAAAGTGATTGGCCTTTTCCTTTGGTGATTTTTCAGAGGCTTAATGGGAAAATAGTGATGGAGAAATAGAAAAGGCAGCTTGAGAGGGCAAAAGAATACAAAACTTTGTCTTCTCTGAAGTTCAAGTTCAACAAGGGAAGCAGGTAGTGCAAATTTGTTGTTACTGTTATGTGCCATTAACTCAACTACAATTCATAGTGACTCTGTAACAACCTTTCTGAAACATTCCCTATCCTGTGAAGCATGTTATACACACTTGGAAATCAGATCAGTATTTTTAAAATAGCTCCAGATGAAGCAGAAGGTTCGCTCTCTTTTTCATTTCAGATCTCTGACATACTTGATCTCATTGTTACAGTTACTGAGTAAGTCCGTCTTGTCAAGGGCCTTCCTCTCTTACACTGACCCTTCACCTTTCCAAACATGTTGTCCTTCTCCAAGGACTGGCCCCTCCTTACTATATGCCCAAAATATGCACCCTGGTTTCACTTTCTTCAGGACAGACCTATTTGTTCTCATGAAAGTCTATGGGATAGTCAATATTCTTCTTCAATAACACAATTCCTCTATCGTCCTTATTCATTATCCAACTTTCAGATGTATAGCAAGTAATTGAAAAGACCAGGACATGGATTAGTATACCTGAGTATTACAGTGCTCCACCTAAAAACATGTCTAAAATTCGTGAGATGAAGTTTCACCACCCTGGCTTCTAATAAGCACTCTGGTGCTTCCTTCAAGAAATAATTGTTTTATTGTAGAATGAGTATGAGAATCCAAGGTGTGGGGGTGCGGTTTGAGAGGGAAGGAAACAGAAGGGTGAGGATCGGTGTGGGGGGGGGCAGGGTGTTACTCATAGGATTTCACAATTAGATGGGTGGGTGAGGTGAGGGAAATGGGAAGGATCTTTTGTGAAAAACAATGTATTCAAACTTTGTAAAGAAATCAAATTTTAAAAAAAAGAAATAATTGTTTGTTCTTTGGCAGCCATTATATATTCAGTACTTTTCTCCCATAACACAATTAAAAAGAATAAATTTTTCTTTAGTCTTCCTTATTCATTGTCCAACTTTCAGATACACGGAGACAATTGAAAATATCATGGCTAAATGGAGCCTTTTAGAGAGGCCCCGACACCAGAATTTCCCTATGCAATATGTCTGTTGATTTCTTGGTTGTTGCTACTGTGACGGTTGATTACTGATCTAAGTAAAATGAAATCATTGACAATTTCAGTCTCTTCTCCATCTATCATGAATTTGTCTACTGCTCCAATGTTGGAGAGTTTTCCCCCTTAAAGTTGAGATATAACTCATATTGAAGGCTGTAGACTTTGATCTTATGTGGCTGGTGTGATTCTAGTCTTATTCACTTTCTATAAGCAAGGTTGTGTCATCTGCATAACACAGGTTGTTGATGTGTCTTCCTCCAATCCTGATGTCGCAGTCTTCTTCATATATTCAATTCTGAAATTATGTGCTCATGATACAGATTGGATAGGTATAGAGAAAGAATACAGCCCTGATGCACACTTTCTTGATGCTTAATCATGTAATGTTCCCATGTTCTGTTTGAACAACTATTTCTTGATTTATGGATAGATTTTACATGAGCATCAATAAGTATTCATAATTTTTCATGATACATAATTAAATGCCTTCACATAGTCAATAAAACACAAATCAACATTTTTCTTGGGATTTGTTTTCATTTTCTTTAGCTTCAGGTAGAACTTGCACATTAGTAGTTGAAGATCTACTCCATAATCAGCACCTGGCCTAGTTTTCACAGTTAATATTGAGCTTTTTCAAAAGATTCTTCTGACAGATGTAATTAATCTGATACCTGTGTATTTCATCAGGTGAAGTCCATGTGTATAGTTGTCAACAACCCAACTTTTCATTCCAATCATCAATTATTATTGTGAACCAAAATTATGAATTTTGTATTATGAATTAATCAAAATCTTCCTGAAGATTATC